AATGATTTATGAATATTGTCCCAATTACTGAAAAATTCAATTAAATTTGATCACCTTTGTTTCACTGAAATCAATCCGAAGGCAGAATGGCTATATATTCTCAGGCGCATTCGCTTTGAGGCTCAATTGAAGGTTTTCATCGCGCAAACGAAGACTTGGAGAACATTATCAGTTTTGAAAAGATCAAAAAGAATAATTCGAAGAATTTGCGCTTCTTCAAGGTAAATTGTGATTTCTTAAAACTATTTTACAATTGTATAAGATAACTATGAAGTTTGCGTAAAGACAATATTTTGTATTCTGCTACTCTCTACATTGTTTAATCATGTGAAAAGCAGCGAATTCCCCAAAACGCTCCAAATGATTTAATTTTGCTATTTTACTTTGCCATATTTATTTATAGGTTCCGCATTCCATCGTAATTGAAAACAACCTTATTAAAATGAAGTGTACTATTTCATCAATTGTTCGAAGAATCTCCATGATCATTTTGGTGTTTGCAATAAGCGCATCATTCATTCCAGTTGTCGGTAAGTACTTTCTAGGAGTTTGATGATATATTTGGGCTAAACAACGCTAACAAAATCTATATAATCAACAAAAATGTAGATTAAATATTTTACACCAAAATCAGATGAAATTAACTGCTGGATTGCGATTTTTGTTATCGCGGTATTTAACGTATATATGTAGGACAGTTGCCGTTTCCAAATGGATTAGGTATGTTACGCACTGTGTGTAAGTGTCTAATATTCATTCACATAAGAGCGGAGCGGTTACATTGGGAGAACAATAACCTAAAAAATATTACATATCCTTGGTAAACAGCAAATATATAACACATACCTCTGCCGGCGACTGAGAACCACTGCTTTTCAATCCGAATAATCTATTATTCTACGCGATTAGTTGACAAAAGCCATAACTTAGAAAAGCAACTGAATATGAAATTCTGAGACCGGCTTACTCCAGCATTTAACATAGCAATAAACAGAATGTATATATATAGGTGCATACAAGCTCTCTTGGGTATAACGTATATGACCCCCAAATCAAATTTCCTCTGTCTAATTGGTCGGCAAACTTATAAAATGCCTTTTTTTATTATTTTGTTTTCAAACCCATTGTAGCGCATTTTGTATGGTTGTTTTCGTAATGTTTTGATTCGCCAACCATTAGTCCTTAAGAGCACTTACGTATCTATAAAGGAGTATGCTTACGATCCATTCCGGGAGACGAGGCTTCAATGCCAATTTTATCCAACTAACGTTTTCCTTGCACTTTCTTGAAAAATTTACTTACAATACGATAGCAAAACCAATATTATAAATACAAGAGAGCAATGCTCAAATATATGGACACGCAGAACAATTCCCCAAAAATCATATGCGGTGACCAACGACTAACATACCGACGGTGACTTACCAGTACCTGTATCGGGGTACCGTGACGGTACAGGGACTGTCATAGATATTTTAGGTCCTGTGACAATTGAAACATCAGTTGAAATATCTCGTGATATGAGTCAATTATGTACCGTATTATCGGATTAGGTACCGAACCACAGTCAAACATTTCACATAAAAACGATACTAAATAACATGCGTCAACTTAACACCAGCCGAATCGGGGTACAATTTTTGGTACAGTGACTGTCATAGCCGTTTAGGGCTGATGGACAATTCGAATACACGGACAACTCACCAGGCCTAGGGTGGTGTAGCCAGTCTGCGGACAATTTCATTCAAACCGCTATAAAACAAAAACCAATATATCTAACCCGTTAATTTTTTCACCGTGGGTGCATTGGCGGCATTTATTCTACACGCTAAACCTCGTATTAACTTTCTACGACAAAGGGTTGAAGCTATACAAATCCCCAAAGTACGGCACTCGAAAGACGTATTTGCGACCGAACAACCAGTGTGCGACCACGGATTTCAAGCCTTCATCATCGTTTATGCTGCGTCGAGACTATCGCATACGCAGCCATACAGCAATCAAACAGACAAAACACGGTGGTCGCAAATTGGTTGACAATTGTTGGTCTTGTGACAGCGTGAAAACATTGGGCTTCTAATTGCATTTCTGACCGTCATATATTTCAAGAACACGGTTATTTCGAACAAAACTCGTTAAATTATAAACAAAGGACCACATCACAGCAATCAAACAGACGAAAACACGGTGGCCGCAAATTGGTTGACAAAGATATTATCGACGTATCGGAAATGCACACCCCCTATTCCCCCTCCTTCAAATGTAGAAACGCGAAACTTTCAAATATGGTTAAAAGAAACACAACTCTACCCACCTGCCAAGTTTCATCTTTTTATTTCTCATATTTGTATGGATTTTCAAGCTTTTGACAACTACGAGTTAGTTCAGTGTCACCGCGCTGTGTTACGGTACCAGAACTTCTCTATCTTTAGAAGGTCCTGTCTTGTGACAGCGTGAATTGAAATTGAAAGATGGTCCGTTGGACACAAAATGGCGTCCGATATCCGTAGAACGTTTAGTGACGTCATAGCAAACAAAAACAAATCTTACAGAGCTAACAGAAATATTTGAAATAAATAAAAGTAATAGCCTTCTGGAGAAAAATTTCATCTTCAACCACTGAACATTTCAAAGCAATTAGTCCAGTAATCAAAGAGAAAAGCGACTTTTTAAAAACGTGTCAAAGAACAAGAACAAGAATAAGAACAAGAACAAGAACAACAACAACAACAACATAATATTGAAACGATCGTTATGTCCACTACGTGTCCAAAAATATTTTCTGTATAACTCGAAATTGTAGTTACAGAAGTCGTAAAATGAGAAGATTGATAACGCGCGAACTTATTTATTAAACCACATCAACTTTATAAATACAACCAGTGCAATTAGTCGTAAGCGGTTACAATATTCAATGAAAGAACCTTCAACTACGTATTTCGGTTTTGAATTATTTGTATCAGTGTTAACCTTTAGCTTAGGACCATGCACGAAATGTGTAATAATATGACTCGGGCCATTATTGGGATTTCAATATAATTGTGTTGCGATTAAAAAGTTAATAATAATAATAAATTGTTGGAAATACTACGATAACATTTCGAAAATGAACGCCATAAAACGAATGTCAATAGTCCAGTAGCCTCATTTTACTTGCTTAAATGAATATTTTTTTCCAGTGGGATTGAGAAGGTGGAAGTTAGCTCGTGGATAAACAGCAAACATTCTAAGGTAAATGCTATATAACTCTTCAATTCGTAAAAATAGTGTATATAGCAAGCTTAATCTAATTTAAGATACGCTGGAATATCAAAAACTGCGATTAACCTCTGAACAAGTAATTCAAAGTTCTATCAACTAGATTTCCAAAATTCACCGAATGCCCTTCGATATAATAAGCTCAGTCATATTTTGTATTGAACTAAGGTTTAACAAAATCTAATTTTTGATATATATATATGTATACGCGGAGATAAAAATTTTGGCTTCGTTCAAGTCATCAACACATACTGTAAAACGTCCAATTTCGTATTTTAGCTAACTAAGATTACTGTTGATAAAAATCACGAATAAGTCTCGACTAGAATAATTAGAGTTTGATAGTTTGGCATGTATCTGATATGTTCAATAACCTTTTTTTTTCAGGAAACGTAGACAATTTCAATAATTTAGAATAGTTTGATGTATGAATCCAACTATTCTCAAATAAATATCGAATATTATTGTAACATGTTAACAGATTGTATTAATAAATATTTGAAACAAGAGAATTCAGAAGTTATTGTCTTGTAATTCTTACCAAGTGTTATATTTAATGACACTATAGCCTTGATGGTAGAAAGATGAGAAACAGTTTTCTGATCAGATATTATTGTTTTTCAAATCACGGAAAAGTAACACTACTCGGTAAGGGACGTATGAACGGACATTGGATTAAAAATTTAAATATTGAGAGCTGAAAATATAATTTTCTGAGTAGGGGTTTAGGAATTGGAATCTTCGAACTCCTAAAAGGATATATAAATCGAATAAACTTTAAAGAGTTCCGTAGAGACGCAATTAAACTATCATGAATTGAATGAATAATATACAATACCCGGTACATTATGAGCATAAATTTAAAACAAAATTCCGAGGAATAACTGATATATATATGCTTGGTTATTCACGATTTCAGCTTGTGAAATGGCATAACAGTTCAATTACGTACTCAATTTTCGTTTTGTTTTTCATTCCAACAGAGTGCGCAAGTCACGTCACAAATGTTTTTAATTATCTGCGCACATAGATATTCCTCCTAAGTTGGTCGTTTGCTAAAATACCTTTTACAACATTCTCAAGCTAATGACTAAACAGTTTGCCAGGTGCTTTTAGAACCTTGCCGCATAGGTATGCTGACGTCACATTCAAAAACACATGGGAAACTCTCAGGATGTCACCACAGTTTTTTTGTTGGAATATGTTCTTATATTGGTCCTCTATCGCGTGAAGATTTGGGATCGCCCAATTTCTGTTGAATTTGTGCTGGTTGGGTATTATTGAATGGTAGAGTCACGATCGTCAATAATACTTCCTCGTTTCTATCTTTTTTGATCGTTTTACATCCGAATAAGTGGCTGGCCAAAGTCCTGATCTTTCCATGACCACGTTGCAGGCTAAACCATGCAGTGGCCCCAACCGCTGGTCCGCAAATTGTATTTTTGTCGGTCTGCGATGAGTATTTTGTTTCGCTAACAATTGTAATTACCGAATTATACAAAGTAACGTTGCCTCATTAAGTGATTGGGCTTTTGACAAGTATGATATTGATTGGCCGGCGGTGTCTCGGCCGAGTAACTACGCATTAAGTGTGGTGAAGTAGTTGGAGGGCCACAAAAATATATATGCGGGCCATAGTTTGTCCCCTACTGCTCTGTTAAAACTGAATCATTTTTTAACTGAACTCTATACAGTACGTTTTTGATACAATTTTGATAGGATATAAGCTCATATGATTCAATTGTTGTTGATTAGTTTATTCACGATGAAGTTAATTTCTAAAGGGCATGCATGAACCAATATCATTGAATATAAAAGAAATCTCTGAAGTTTATCAATATAATTAAATATAAAAAACAGATTTTAAAATATGAATTGCAATGTTTCCCCTACAACCAAGATAGCAAACCACATTCAGGATTAGACTGATTTGTCAGAATATTAGACAGATCGGTTATTTTAAACACATTTGAACTTTACAATGAAATAAATAGCCAGGTCAAACCACGGCAATCCCAGTTTTTCCGTCGAGAGAGACTACAATTACAAACCTACCCAATTTTGCAATACTACTAACACAGGTATGCCGATTTAAACTATTCATGAAAGAACAATTCAACTGTGAATCCAAAAAATTGCCAACATTGACAGTGTGTTCATGAGTAGAGTAAAACAAATTTAAGATTTGAAATTGTCAAAGACAACTATGCAATGATAATTTTTAAGTAACCATGAAGAAACTAGGTAAATTAGGTCACAGAACATAAGCAAATTAGATACAATCATAATATAAACCATGTTCAAAGGCGAATATAGGAACTTTGCGTCAAAATCAAATTTTTAAAGTACATTGGGAAACGAGCACTGTAGAGAAATGGTGTCAAGCCCATTGTCCAAATGTGGACCACCATTATTTTGCCCCATGTCATTCTAGTATTTATGCTGTATTGGGATCTGTGGCCACAAAATATTTGTTTTGACGATGGTATGTATAATTGCCACCTAAATATAATAGGATGCCGAGGATTTCTAACATCAAACTTCCGATAAGATTTCAAAACGTTAACGCATGAACTCTGCTCCCCATGAAGAGTATGCACACACTTGTTATACTCCTGCATATATATGACACTGCTGATGCAGTGCTAAAAATCATGAAGATATTTTACGCATAAGGTCAGCTTGTATATGATAATACCAACTATATACACATATGTCAAAATGAGTAGAATAAGTTCCCTTCTTCAGAGTGTTTCTGGTTTTAGCAATATGAAAATAAAACCTCCACAATATTGGCATTCTTGTAATACTTCTTTGAATATTAATGAATAGTGTATGAATATATAAAGCTTTAAACGTCTTTTTATATGATCATTATTTGTTTCTGTATTTTTAAATATGTACTGACAGGCGCCAGAGTTTCACATTCCTGATTTCAAAAAATTATAAAATTAAATCAAACATCCAATCAAATCATTCAACTGCTAGCAATATAAAGAACATCAATATTTTTCATTAGGCGCAAATTGCCAGGCACTTCATCAAAAAAATACGGTATTCCCGAAGTATGTGAACCAAGATGGCCGACACCGGAACGTAGTATGTGTACCAGGTAAGGCCCTAATTTTATTCTAATTTTCCTTATTTTAGTTCTATTACGAGTTCGAGGACTAGCCAAGTGACTTCCGTAGTATTTGTACCTGAAATTATGGCCTAACCCTAACCTGTTACAAATACTACGTTACGGTGTCCGTCATCTCGGTTCACATACTTCGGGAGTACTATAAATACATATTAGCAACACTTAAACTGTATAACAAAATATAAAATCAGCTTCACCAAAGAGATATCCTTTATATTATTATAGATCATCAAATATTTTGATAAAAATATTATAATTATCATTCGATCAAAAAAAAAGCATACATTCAATTACTCTATTAATAGATTTAGTATAATACTAATGGAGTGATATCTAAGTACAACTCTAACTACAGTTAGTTATTAGTGAAAAAAAAGTATTTTTAAGCATAAAGTGTTAAAATTGATTAAACATTAATAAAAACCTGAGTGCCAAGTGGCTTCATAATCATGCTAATATATGCATGAAATATGGCATAATAATATTTCCAATTAACCACAAAATTAGCTAATCAGGAAGATGCAGTTTTTGAACACTAGATTTCAATACTCAAAACACTTTCTATAATTTTGATAATGAAAGTTGCAACTTGCTACCTAAACTTATTGTTTATCTAAAAAAATTGCTTTTGATGAAAGATCAACAAAAATCCGTATTTTTACATCACTATTCATTACAACATTTTGAGCCTACGCATTGGCTATGTCAACAAAAAATGCGATGGCAAATCCACAGAGTCCAAGTATGAAGAAGACGAGAAGACTGGTCTTCACAGTTTGGCCCTGAAAAACAACCAACTACAGTGTTACATATTGATTAAATGATTAATCAAAATAATGGTATTATAGGTAGTATTCAGGCTTGCCAAATCTTCAATATTAAGCACCGAAGTTTCGAAAAAAATGAAAATGAACATGAATTAGCAAAACCTAGACACTAGGTTCGGATGAAAATAGGTATCTGGAGCTCGTAACTTAAACAAGCCTGTTCAAACGAGTGAAAACTGATCATAGTCAATGAATTCCATATTCTGGAACAAGGTAATATAGTCTCATTTGCAAAATGATACTTTCTAGCAATTCAAGTATCACAGTACAGTTGTAGAATAGCAATTTTTGAGTGAGACCCAAACTATAAAATGGAAAAGGTTTGAAGGCCCGACAATTTCGTTGGAAATTTCGAATTTAAACATGTAAAAAACTTGTTTAATGACACAATAAATTATCTGATACGCAAGAATGAACATACCAGAATACTTGCAATGCTGGTACTATAATGAAACGAATGTAATGTACAATAGTTCGAAATATGAACAAAAACCATTTGGCAAAAATTTGAATGTGTAATGTTGCATTTATAGAGCTTTTTTGTGTATTAATGTCATAATTGAAGTTTATTGGACCATTCTGGTCTGACCTCATAGTTTGAGATACAGCCAAATCTTATCCATGCATTCTATGTATTGAAAGCACCAGAGATCCAGCTACCTATTAAAACTGTGTTACCAATGTCCTATAGTAGGAAGACAGAAGTAGGTTGAGTTACAAAATAAAATATAAAATCTGCTAAGAATTTTCATTGTTATTCTTAACATGCAGTGATAAAGAAGAATCCATTGGTTTTAGTGAGATGACAGCATATATAATACTTTATATGATAGTAAGATTTTGATGTGAAGATGGCATATTTAAACACCCATCTATATCCGAATCCTATTTAATCAACACCAAATCCAAACATATGAAAACAACAAAAAAAAGAGACTACATCATGGCATGCTTTGATTTTTGTCAAGATGTTTATTTTAAATAAGAGCTCTACAGATGATATATGAATGATAAGACTAAGAGAAAACATAGTTGGATAATAAAGATAGATGCGAATGAATAATCTACATTGTAATGAGAATAAATGATAATGTATTGAGAAGACTTTCATAATCATTCGGTTACATACAAAAATAAAAAAAACAGAGAAAGAATTTAGATAAGCAAATACAGAAAGATTCAGCAGAGCAAGGTTTGGATAAGTAAAAAGACAGGCAATAAGAAGTTGGTTATGCAACAATCAAATGCAATCATTTTTCACTATCACTGAAACAGGCACTGAACAGACACAATGTTCCTCTGTAACAGAGAAGTACATGAAGACTTTTTCAACTTCTTTTTATGCTTGATATTTGAAACAGTGTACAAGTATTTGGGAAACTTGGAAAACTTTTTACACACACTTGGTGTCACATAACTACAGTAAACCTCTAATATGTACACCTCAGACAAGGTAGAATACACAATGACCCTAACTGACTGAGATGTTATTTGGATCTATCATTCAGCTATAAGAGAAGCTGGGTTTGTAAAACTAGTAATATCATTCTTAGCTAACTGACGCTTATGCGGCCATTTTGATTTTTTGAAAAATCTCAAACAAAAGAAAAGTGAGTGGGTGACAATTCCATTCATGCATAAGAGTATGTTTGAAGAGTGTTGCTATGATGGAAACTTACCGTAGTGTGCAATACATGCAATATGCGTGTAGCCCAAGCACCGTGCATCATGCTCTTACATGCAAGATGCATATAATAACGGCACTTTTTGGTACCCAGTATATCTTACCCTGACACCTACATCTGGTTCTTCCATCTGCATTTCCCCAGGTGGTGGATCTTCCTTTTCTTTTGATTTTCCCGAATTGGCTAATTTTTAAAAAAATATTTGCAAGGGTGGTAAAATTAAAGGGTCTTAATAGAAAAGGGATGCAATTTGGACGACAGTAATACCAAAACCATCAAATTTTCAAGTATTCAAATAAGCTAAATCCTCAAATATGAGTATTATTAAGTATATTTCATGTAAAAATATGCCATTTACAGCTAAATATGCCATTTACAGCTATAACATTGACATTGGTCAAGCAAGCAATACATACATTTCATTCAATCAATGAGAAAATTGGAAATTCACAAAATTTTTGATATATGTGGTTTGTGCAATTGTAAAATTAGTATTCAACAAGATATAATTAAAGTAGCCTATATATGCAATTTTTAATCTCTATTAACACTTTTCAATTTAAAACAAAATTAAAATTTTAAAGTTGAAAATTTTTTTATAAAGTAGTTAGTGCAGTCAATTGCTTCCGTCAAGCGAAAAACAAGTTGAGAGTGTTGAGACTTGAAATAAGTTGAAAAATACATGAAAAAATAGTTTTAACTGTTACTAATACCAGTGCTTTCTAGGCAATCATTCTAGAATAAGACTCACAATAATGTCCATAATGCCATGTTAATGCTTCCAAGCAAAGTTCCATCAAAACTTCAAAACCAACGAATCCACCAAGCACACTTAACTTCCATGATGACAATTCATCCATTGCAATTGCACCTGTTTAACATAAATACAATGAATACAAATATAAAATTGCCTTTGCAAAAAACTCATGAATATAAACAAGTAATTACTTGAACCTAGGATTTCTGAGCCTGCGTAAGTGATAATAAACAGGAACATCATAAGAATTTAATGCAATGGGAATTTTGAATCAATAAATTGAGGATGTTCAGAATCCTAATTTTTTTTCTTTTTTATTATATTTGTCATTTTTGCAGTGAAATTGTATCAAAGTCAGATTTTAGAAAATGTGGTTGGGCAGTAAAATTTTCCGAATTACAGGTAATTAAAACTGTAAATTTACAAAAATTGTCAATTATCCAACTATTCACATATGTCTCTCATATTAATAAGGTATGGTTGATAGCCCACAGACGAATTATTATAGCGAAGACACTAGGCATCATATCATGAACTTGCTAACGGGGAAATTCCAGAGGGAATTGAATTACTAACAGAGTAACAGAACTTCTCGCTGTAATAAAACTGTTTACGTATCAGCAGCTCATTGGATAAGTCTTTTTCCACTTTCTTGCAATAAGCAATTGCCCTATTAACCATTCCCTGATCTAGAAACTGGGCAAGGGCCAGTCGAATCATTTTACTGTTTCATCCACTTCATTAACACAAAGAAATATGAAGAAAAGACAATGTTTCCGTAGTAATGAAATAAACCATGGATATACCTTGAAATAAATTAGCTATAGCCAGACACCTTGCACAGAGTCCAATGAGGTAATGAAATATGTTGAAGAGATATCGGTTCGAAGTATTCGGGTGTGGACGGAAGATCGCTAAGATTGGGTTTATCAAGGTTAAAGCCATAACGATGATACCAATGATAGCATGTGCTGGGATGGTCTAAACAAAAATACAAGCGGTGAATATCAGTATTGAGGAGACGACAATGACTAAACTCAAGTCACATTCTTCAAAACTCAAAGTGAGTCGAGTCATCTAAGCAAAATGCACAACTCGATGTTGACTAACCAAAAGAGAGGATCGACTCAAAACCCAAAATAGATTTTGGTGAGTTCCGAAAATATAAAAATCTTAATGAAATACAATTCCCCAAGCTCATTAATGTTATATCGATGACTTATCAAATTCACTAGCTTGTTCCAGCAATAACTCAAAGTAGATCATATTAATGAGAAGTTAAAAGATGTTATCACATGATTAAATTCTAGTAAATGCATTGAAGTCGCATTCATGCATTCATCCATTTCACTGATGTTTATGAAATGTTCTAGAACTCGATACTCAAACATCAGCAACTTGTTTTGATGATGATACAATGGCCTAACTTAACGCTTAAAATTTGCTCGGATTCCAGAGACACAAATGAATCGAGACTGGGATAACCAGGGATTCGACTTTAGCACTCTGTAGACTAAACACATATAAAATTAGCCAATCGGTAATACCAGAATATGTTTGAAATTGGAAACTTATTTTTATTGGACATGCAAGAAAACAACAAATCAATTTCCCTCAATGTGTGCTACATATTCACTAATAAATTTATGAAAGTTGAAAAAACATGTGGCCCAAATGTGGTAAAGTTGGTTCGAAGCAATGATCAAATGTCTGATTAGGATCAAACTACATAGGTTCGTTGGAGATTTGAGAAAACGTACTCAATATGTCAAATTATATAAACTACATTAAACTGGATGTTTAAATATTTTATTTCCTATAATAACGGTATTTGAATTATTGCTGTTTGAATTTAGTGTTCCTTAACGAAAACTTTCTTTTTATTTATGCTGAATTGAAAAAATTTGTGTCCTAATCAGTAGTTGCTTCAGAAAAATGATGTGAAGCACCTCAAAAAAATACTTACCGATGCATAACCTCCAACATGAACAAAAATAATGATAAAAGCAGTTGTTGTGCATAGGAACACTGTTATCATAATCAACCTGTGGAGCTGGAAATAAAAATAAATGTAGTATAATGAGGAAATTTACTTATAACAAAAACAGTAAATAAGATTGTTTCTCAGTGTCTATTTGTTTCCCTTTTTGAAGTAGGATATAATCATTTACCTGAAACCAAAGTTTTTCACCACCCGGGTTTGTATTCACCCACAATGGTTTAAAATGTCTTGCAATCATAGCTCCAACATTTGCTAAAACCATCCATGCTACAATCATGAGAGATCTGGATATAGAAATAACATTAGTAATTTCAGATTAGACTTGAGCACATTGGTTAATCACACCACAGGTTAGAAGTGTCTGTCAATATAGAGTCCTAATCAGAAATGTGTAAGCATCGATAAAATAAAAAACAAATTAGCATATATGTGGAAGGCTTTCGTCCTCAAAGTACAGGGTGGCATCTTATATCATGGGTGTGCAACCTGCGTCCCGTGGAGAAGTGCCAATAGTGAATGGTGTGCGGCCAATGAAATAGTTTTTATTCCAGTTTGGTCCGGTACATGCAAGTAATTCCCTTTGCGATGCAAAGCCTACACCTGAATCCAATTTGTCATCTATGCCTATGACGTTACAATACCCAGTCAGCTAGCTTGTGCGAAGCGAACAACGCAGATCATAAGATCAATAATCAAAATTTGTGATCCTGCAACTTCTAGGAAGTCTATATTAAATAAAGGTGTCCCCGCCGGCTTGCCAAGTTATTTCTATCTGTCCTTCCTGTTTAAACATTGCACACCCCCTGTCCTATATTGAAAAACGCTGCTTGTTTGGACTTGGAGTCTTGTTCTCAGTTAACATGTAAAAAAAAATCAGAAATATTGTGATAGCTGATAAATCAACATTCACAAGCTCAAAAGAAAACAATATTTCCTTCGAGTACTCTCGACATATTATATTCCCGAAGTCTAAGAAAACAATTTCAAGATTATCCTTTTATTCAGTGATTGTAAGCAAATACCAGAACTTGCCACACGACACGAATACTGGTGAATAGACCAATCAATTTGGTTTTGCACAATAAAAATAGCAGACAAAAAAAATCGAAAATATGTTTATCTGCCTACCCATGAACTTTCTCCAAAATATCAGCCCCACCAGTTGCAGAGCCACTTGCAGTAATCATATTAACTTGATTGGCTGTGATTGCAAATGCATCATGGAATCCAACGTTTCCAGTAGCTGGAATATAAATGGAGGATTGTTGTATTACAATTTGGTAAATCTTGAAAGATCCTTTTGCCAGAAAAAACTAGTGTCAACATTGCAGCCCAGAATAAAAATAATAAATAATTGACTATTCTATATACATTCTGAAAATATTCTAAAATAATCTGAAACAGTCGCCGCTTTCACGCCACTCTGTATAGGAGTCTAGGAAATTTAAGAGCTACAATTTTCCAGAGAAAAGTCGAGTGCAGGCTGGTGGAAATTAAATATATTATGGGACAACCCTTGTCCTTGTGACACAAGATGTGCAGAGAAATATTCAAATGTCAGAGTGAGAGTTGCGTGTACCATAGGCTTAAGATCCTTCAAAGGTTGAACAAATAAAAGAAAGGAGTTTATATGTACAATGAGGGGGAATCAAAATAGATCCAAAACAGACAGACCGAGGAATATAAATATAAAAAAAAAATAGGAACCATTGTTTTAGTACTTTGGTAACTTACTTCCAACCATCGGTCCTCTTGCCAACAAGATGTAATAAGTTCCGGTACTCAAGTCAAAATCTTTTGGGCCTGTAGTAATTGTTTTTGTGATTGATGCAGCACGGGCAAATGTACATTCTGCAAGACCACTATTAGTTGCTGCTGAAGTGCCATTAACTCCTGGTTCAGCCTGGAAGTAAAATGAAAGAAATCAACTCAAGTGTAAGTTTACGTAGATCATTGGAAAGAACCATAGAAGATAGAACTTTATAGGGAATGAAACAAGGTACATGAGGTTTTTATACTTTACCTGGTTCTACGAATAAAAAGTTGTTCAGAAATTATGGATTATGTTTTTTTTTCAGCTTTCTTGCAAATTATTTTACATTTCTAACAAGCTGGGCATTCATCCCTTATTGCAGTTTTTGAAAATTTCACTACTATTTAAAAATACAATAAAAACTGACGGCAATATCAAGTAAAGTCGGTTGAACCCTCCTTGTAGCAATCACGCCAGATTGAACAGATGATCCAGTACAAAAATATAAATCTGCATCTTGCATGTCATCAACCTGCCCGAATGCAACAGCCGCATATCGCGATCCACCACCAGTGTCGCCACTTATTTCCATATCGAAGGTCCTGCTGGCCGAGTTCTGAAAATAATAAAAGGTTTATTATTATTTATTAATAAATATATAGTTAGTGTTAGTGCAATGGCTGAATATTTATACTTTTATATGGCTTCATGTTTATACAATGAAAAAAGCTTTGCAGATGCAGTAACTGATATGTACGTACTAGTGTTGTTGAAGCACCAGAATCGCATAATGGTGAGGTAGTGGACGTAACCCCAGGATCTTCAAACTGTAATTCCAACCTACATAGTTAAATCCAACTTATAAAATTGGGCAATTGATCCAGAATGTTAGCATTGCAAGATAGAGATTTGTATTTAAACCCTATGTTCACTATTTACCAATCAGTAATTTTCATTATACTAGGGGCTGCTCCCCTAGTGCCTTATTTAGAGAGTGAAGATATGAGAACATCGACCATAAAAATGATGCATTCTAAATCACTATATTATTGTAATATAAGATGTATTGAGAAGATTAGAACCAAATTTGCATGTGTCATTCACTCGTCCATTAATAAGGTTTTGAAAAATCACATCTTCATATTAGTTTGGTTCCAACAGTTAAACTTGAAAGTGGAAATAACGCTCTACCAAAAATGAAAACTAATTCCGTTTCAGTCTGAAATCCAGACCAAAAGATGTCCCGTAGTCTTCAATGACAGAATCTCAAAATTTTATATCAAAATATTTTCATTTCTGGAAAAAGTGACATACGATACTTTACCTTTACATTGGCGATATATAATTATATTGATAGCAATAGATCAAATGCTGTGATAAAGTAACTCAGGATGACAGGATTAGGAACGAATGAAAGATTCATGAAGAAGAGCATGATTATATAACCACATGACTTGCAGCACCAATTTAGATGTACACTAAATTTTTGACCAAATAGGTGATAAAACAAATATATATGGTTCAATCAAGTATGACCAAACATGATTGAAACCGGTATAAAATATTTCTCCATAGATTGTTTAAGTGATTATGTGGACATTGTAATGGCCTTAGGGCAAACATTCTAACTTGTTAATCTTCGATTATTCATGTCAGTTTTAATAAAACCACATCACATGACAGAAAAGTGATCAACTGTTACAGGAAAACACAAATTGACTATTGATTAGGACAGTTGACAGAAATAAGTTACGATAATCACGAATAGTCATATTTACAAATTTAGATAAATATAACTGTGAAAATTTGTTAATATTTTCTGTTTTCCTATTCATATTTCAACAACTGACCAACCTAACTTCTACTCATTCAATACATTACTAAATAAAAATATATTAAAATACTAATTTGACATAAAAGTTACCAAAAATAGCTATGACTAAAACATGTTTTGGTATTATGTCAGTAATATGCCATACGGTTTTGTCACAAACTGTTAATGTGAATATTGATTAATGCATACTAACTGCCGTTAACTACGGTTGGTTTATTCAGAAGTTCATAAAACACTACTTTAGCCTATATATATAAGTACCGTATATATAATATTATTAGTGGTGTTTTATAGACTTCTTTTCTAAATTTGTTTAGCATTAGCAGACAGATATATCATGAGATGATTCAACGGGCATTTTCTGGTATTTTTAACATTTGTTAAATATTTACTGTGTCAAATCCGTACCAGTCATTGTCAAACACTGACATTGGCAATTTTTCCCACAATGACTTTGTAAAATTATGGTCATGGTTGTTGCAGGAAAACAATTCAATGATTTGATCAAACAGAAATGCATATATGACAAGTAGCCCACCTTCCAACAATTCATAATGACTAAGCAATATATTAGCAAACACTTGTGTATTGAATCCACAATTGAGATTATTCTGATTGGATGTTTATGAAGAAGAATTTAGTTTTAATATCATTTAATATTATTTAAGTACATATATAAAAATACACCTTTTAAATTTGTAATGGAAGAATAAAAGTATCCCCGTTGAATAATCGAATGCAATATTTATAATAGATATGAATCATAGGTAACATTCTAGTAATCTTTGTCAACTTTGAACAACTTTTTCAATCATACTCAATTAATTTTGAATGCTCGAAGCAATTTTCGAAAAGATGACGATGTTAAATTAAGCACATTAAAAACCATTTTCAATATTAACAACACATAATACATGTTGAAAGAGTTAAAGAGAAACATGATCATTTAAATAGCAGATCAATTACCATGACTACATGAAACTGAAATTTCAAGTAATTGGCATGACCAAACTACTGGTAGTTTCCAACTGGAAACTTATGTAATACCTGAACTTATCTTGCCTATCAACCAAAAAAGTTTTTTTTATTTAAATTAATATTTAATATCAAGAAAAGGTTGTATACAAATTTTTTTGTTTTTTAGTAGCAAATTTGAGCGCAGTCTTATCAGAATAGTAAAGGAAGAACTAACCTATGAACTTTTTAACGTTATTGGTTAGGCCAGTGGTTCCCAAACTAGGGTCCGCGGACCTTTTGGGGTCCGTGAGGTACTTTTCGAGGGTCCGCGAAAGAAATCTGTTGGCTCAAAGTTTGATAATGCAAAAATTAACTGCTTAAATTTGGAAAGACACATTTATCGCATTATGATGCTTTACATACAATCTCTGCTAAGGACACTGATTCTTCACTTTCTGTTTCGATTAGGTTTTCCCGATTGTGACGTCACAAAGCTATGGCAGCTCCTGCCACGAACAAACCGCGGCGTCTCATGCCATGTTAATGGCGCTATAATTTAGTAATCAGTATTATCGGCATATTAACAAAGTCATGTGCCGTATTTTTGTTTAATATACAGAATTATATCTACTTAAATCTGGAACCAAACATCAAATCCATTAAAACTGTATCTATAAAAAAAAAGTACCAACCTACTCATTGTTTGTCACCAACAGGGGCAGCCCTGCCAATACATTCGACATGCCTTGGTTACGGCATCAAAATTTTACCCGACATGATTTTTTATTTTGCTGCCGTGGTACCGGTTTGGGGCAGCTAAAAAGTCAGTCGCCGTGGTTTGACCGGAGCTCCAGAGGTAATCTATGTGCACCAAGATGGCGCACAACCTGAACATGGTATTGTGTACCGGTTAGGGTTCAGGTCGTGCGACATCTTGGTACATATGCTTCTGGAGCGCCGTTCAGCCATAGCGGCCATTGTTTGGAAATCCCGCTAAATACTTAAAACTGCACTGGGAGGTATAGACGACGCTGCCTTTTTGCATGCTTGTTGTTATAGGAGAGAATTAAAGTAGGTAGTTGATAAAGTATGCCACTCCGTTTCTATATGCTGTTTTACGCTTTTGATTTGAAAGGTAGATAGCGTTAAGTATAGCGCAGTCAGAAAGGCACTACGTTTTGGTTTTTAGATGTCAAATTTAGTCTTTGACACACGGTAACGGTAGGCATATATTTTTACGTTTTCAACTATGTATTATCAATTTCAAAATGTCTTCTAAAATTTAAATTGAGATAATCGTATGTAATTTTATCATGATAAACGCAGGTGAAGATATGTTTTGCACTACACCGTGTGGAGCATTTATTTTTGTTGTGACCTTGTTTTATGTGATATCTTTCTGTCTTTCTTCGATAATGTTTTATTTTAGTCAACTAGTGCACAGGGCAGCGAAACAAAAACAAAATTGCAAGGGGTCCGTCGGACAATTTTTTTGAAAAAGTTTGGGAACCACTGGGTTAGGCTATTAATAATAACCCATTATAATGAAAATACCATTTTTACATTACATATAAATGCTATTTCTTTTCAAGTCGATAGAGATTGGATAGAGTAATAAAGACGAATTATTTTAAAAAAAAATTTTGAGAAAGTTAAAAAAATTTGTTTGCTAAAGGTGTTATAAAAAATCGTCATTGTTGTTGAATGGTGAGGGCATTCTTTGGAGACTTTTATGTAAATAATTGAACTAAATGAAGCGATGATTGATCGTTGTGTCCCATTGGTTCAATATACCAACCCTACTTAGTAGCGTATATCGTCACACTCACCCTATTTCCAACGAACCATTGTCGATAGTTTGCTTTTTATTACAAAATAATTGATAGGTCATGGAAATCATATTTCTCGTCGTTACTAGGGCATCACCAATAATTGTAATAGTAACAGATGAATGAGATGATACACCGTTTTAGATAACAAATATGGTTGAAAATTATATTTGCTCATTCTTAAATATTCACATTAAAAATTATTGTGGCTTCAATGAATATTGAATGTCATTTTCTCATATTAAATTTATCAAAACATCTTCTTTCACAATTTAGAATGAATCGACTGTACCTACAGTAACTAAAAAAGATGAAAGTTAATAATAAGCCCCATATAAAAACTTACATTAGCTAGGTGACTCAGTCCTAGTTCAAGTGCATCAGTGACATAATTTGGCATTTGAATGAATAGTTTCCTATTGGACTGAAGCATATTGTTCAGACGATTATAAATGCTTTGGTGACATGTGTTCAATGGTACCTACTTAAGCTTGTGCAAACAAAAAGTGCTTTTTTTTAAACACTAATCTAGATCATGCAAATATATATCTTTTGCCGTAGAATTTCAAAAACTGAAAACAGTCGTTTTAAAATCTGTCATCCTTTTTTGGGGGATTTAGACTTTTGTCCTTCAGTGAAATATATCAAATAATTTAAAATTGAATTATTATCAAATACTTCCAAACTGGTCGTACCACCTACAGTATATTTTTTCAAGAACCATATAAAAACTAAATCATATTCAGAATATCAAACAATGAAAAGGTAGAATTTTATGGCCTAATGAATTACTATAGCTATTCGTACTTTGTAATGTTTAATTAATCAATATTCACATTGACTGTTTCATTAAAACAAAAATCTTTGATTCAAAGTTAATTAAACAATTATAAATAGTGAACAAAGCAAACATATTTATGGAACGTGCATATCAATGCCCTATTACATTTATCAGGTACTTTGTTCATTACTTGTGATTTCAAGTTCTTAGTTAAATATACTGAATATTTTTATTTATCGTCTAGCTACTTTATCATGTGGCCCGCAAAATAAAGTTTGGCGGTTAAATGTAAACAGTCGAATACATCAGGAAATATCATTCAGAAAGCATTTCCAGTTACATATCAAAGCGTGTCGTGACTCTTTTAAATGTTGTTTATGTTTATGCACTTGCGCATTAAATATCACTGTCATTAATCAAAACAGAAGTATGCATTCTGCCACTTTGCAAGATGCATGTATCATTCATTTTCAAATATTTTAAATCCCCAAAAAAATAAAATTATACATAATATATCAAGATCAATATTTTAAACTGTATCAAAATGTTTAGGAATATGGTAAAAAAATTTCTTTCTATATGTAGCTCATAATATGTCAGTCACTCAATTATCAACTCAAATTATCTCACTCAATTTTCCTCATATTATATTCAAAGGGTCCTATAAAATATGATCTTATTTTTTATTGATTTTTCGATTGTATTTATGGTATCATAAATGTCATATGGAACACAATACACAAATATGAACTAAATGAAATTATATTTCAGCAATTCCTTAGATTAAATTGATGTAATATATGTTTGCACAACCTTTAGTAATAAATAAATAAGATATACGAAAAGATATAAGTTAGTTTTCTCACCCAAGTCCAAGAGAAGAATATACATGAAGTTGACGCAGGGTCACATCCTTCTGGAAATAGCTGACATCCTTTCGTCGTTCCGCAGCCAGTTGTTGAGAACACGGCAGATGCAAAATTTTGAAACAGAAAAATTAAGAAGATTGTATATAAAAGCCTCAACATTTTCGTTTTATTAATAAAAAATTATAATTCATGAAACTGGAGAAATAAAAAATACAATAAATTGCAATTTCGATTGATCACAAGTAAAGATGAAGAAGGGTGGCAAACAAAAAAATTACTTTAGATAAGAATGATTGGGAAATATTACTTTGGATGATAATTACAAGAAATAAGACAATTGTTTATAAGCTACATGCTTGCTGAAATAGTTTGGGATCACACAGATAAATAACTATAACACTTTCAGATGCTTTTATACAATGTATAGCTATTTTATTCAGCAGTGGCAAGAGGTTCAAACTCTTTGGCAATTTTTCTGGCAAGACCAGTCAGATTTACCCCTTGCAAATTTGTTAAAATTGCAACAACTATACCATGTGGTGGAATAATTTCAGAATTAAGCGTCAAATTTGTATCTTCTGGTTTCTTAGAGAGTTCAGATTCGGCTATTTTAGTTTCTGAAGGTAAAATGTATAACACACTTGAAGCACCTATTGCTCCACCTGTGTGCAGGACTTCAAAATCATATCGGTTGGCATATTCATATTCTTGACTTTCTGGATAAACAGACCAACCCAAACCATAATATGTATTGGTACGTAATCGCTTGTCAGAATTTTGCTCGGGTTTCACAATGGGAGACCACATCATTTTTACAGTATCTGATTTTAAAAATCCTGGATTACTGCACAATCCATTACCAGAATGTTGAAAACTATAGAGCATTACATTTCCAAACTTAAGTAAATCTGGTATATTTGAAATAAACCCGCCGCCAGCCCATTTATATGAGTTATCAACATATGGAACATTGACTAAACGCCCGTTCTCATTTCTTTGATAATGTTTAGCTCTATTATAAACAATATCAATAGGATTCTCTGCAGAAGTGTTGTTCATTCCCAACTTATGGAACAATTTTTTCATGTGTAGGATAAATTCCTCACCAGCTGCTTTTTCAACTACCGCACTTACTAAGGTGTAACCATGCGTAGTGTACAGAAACTTAGTGCCTGGCTTATGAAATAACGAATCGTTTTTAAACATTTCCAAAGCCTCCGCTATGCTTTTATATGGTTTCATTGAGTAATATTCTAAATGTTCAAATTCTGGAGTAGATGATCTATTCTCTGTTGCCGAAATGCCTTTTTCTGTTTTATCGTTTTGCTCTGACTTTTTTTCATCTAGTTCCGCATTTTCTTTTTTCTTATAATGTCTAATCCCACTCGTGTGAGATAGCAACATTTTTAAAGTAATTTCTGCCTTTTCATTTTCATAAAATTTATTTGGAAAATCTGGAACATAATCTTGAATTGCAGCATTTAAGGAAAGCTTGCCATCTTCAATGAGCTTTGCCACAGCAGCCATTGTCAGGCTTTTGCTAATGCTAGCAATTCGCATTATAGTATTGAATTTGCATTTGACTTCATTTTCTATATCAGCATAACCAAACCCCTGTGTCCATACATCTTTTCCATTGATCGAGACACCAATTATAATTCCAGGAGTACCGATTTCGATCATATTTTTCCGCACTAAACGCTGAACACGACCAATGATATTCTTGCTTGGCGTGGCAATTTGAGGACGCAACGCGCGATGTTGCTTTACTGGAGAGCTAACCTCATCTGAGTCGTGAATGTGCTGTGCCGCGGCAACACTAAGAGACGATAATAAATATGGAGTCTTTCTGCCAAATCCCCCAAACATTTTCACCAAAACAAGAAAAAACAGAAAACGCGAGCAGCAGCAACAAGCGCACAAGCAATGAGCGCCGACTTCCACTAAGCATCTGATTTACTACGCCAACGTCCAACATATTTATGTTGTTACTCTTTGCTGCACGCAGCGATCGCGTGAAATCGTGCAAAGCATCATCACTAGGACTTGCACGGTCACGTGACTTTGTTTACTGGACGGCAAAAAAACAAAAACGTCCAGCTGGCTCCTGTCAGTTGCAAGTCGAATTATACGTTTCCGTTTTGTTTGGTTGTTGAAAATGGTTATTTCGTATTGTTCCGTTGGCTGTACGTGTACGTAGACAACGAAATGGATCTTCAGGTTTCCGTTTTGTTTGGCTGTTGAAAATGGTTATTTCGTATTGTTCCGTTGGCTGTACGTGTACGTAGACAACGAAATGGATCTTCAGGTTTCCGTTTTGTTTGGCTGTTGAAAATGGTTATTTCGTATTGTTCCGTTGGCTGTACGTGTACGTAGACAACGAAATGGATCTTCAGGTATATTCCACTGTTTTCAAAAGATCCGTAACGTCGCGCAATGTGGATTGCGATTGCGTCAACACACAAAAAGAAGTAAATAGTATACGACTCCAAGGAGCAGTGGAAATATAAAAAATAAAGTTATAAAGACAGACATATATACAAATGTCCGTATGTCACAATGACATGTTGATAATTGATAGGATAAGATTTACATATTTATCCCGGGGAGAGGAAATTCGATAAGACAGTTTAATTGACGTTATGTATATTCAATGAGAATATATTCTCATTAGTATAATTTACGCGTCCATGTAATTCACAACATAATATGGGGGATTAAACAAGTTTGCAACATCTTCAACCTTAGACTATGTGCCCTAGGATAGGATTTACATATTGAGCCAATAAGACGGCTTAATCACACGGCGAACCATGACCCCTCATCTGGTTACCAGTCCAGGTCGGGTATGGGATTAGTTAGCCAGTTATTTGTTTTCGGGAGCATGGACTTACCATATATATAAATTTTTTTATACTCGTGCTGAATTATGCCACTGAATTAAATAATCTGATTAACTACAGCAGAGGTACCAAACGTTTTGTTCGTGCGACGCCAAATTATCAGGGAAAAAACTCACGGCGCACTAACACGGAAAAAATTGCTGCCTTTGAATAAAACTCAACCTCGTGATCTATAATATGTAGCCTACTTTATCTCTCATCGCCGCCTGATTTTCCTTTTATATACTAAACAAATCACTCATGTTCGCCAAACTTGATTTAGAAGATAAATAAACTGCAGCTCATGGAATTGCAGCAAGGAGTGTCTACCTCTATTGTTACGTAACAGATGCGTAACAATAGAGGGCGATACCACGTAACAGACAGTAAACGATTAGAAAGGTATATTGAAGTTATTGATTCATATACACTGCATTTAAAAAAAAGAAACAATAAAACATTTATAATAAATACAATATGCAAAATATTTAAAAGACGACAGATTTAAAACAGAGGAAGAAACCCCAGAGAATGAGATGGAGCAAGAGGCGATTGCGCTTTTTCGAGTAAGAGTTATCGACGTGACAGAAAATGCAGGAAGATTTGTGGTCAATGAAAGTATTGCAAAAAGGGGGTACAAATTTTCCTATAGGCCGTTCATCCACAATTGCACAAGTGGGTAAGATGCCGGTAAATTTGGTAGAAGTTTAGAGAGATACTCACTTATCATAGCAGCGCCTTCTATTCTAATTCTCAGCATTGGCATTAGTTGTTAATAGCGTATGACATATTTTATATTGTCATATTCAGGATATCCATATTTATTTTTGAGCGTGGAAAGCGATAAAGCAGATTAACAACTCGCAGAAATCTCTTTTGTCAGAGGCGCAAAATGATGAAGAATCCAAAATAATATTTACTGAAGATATAAGATTCACATTTGACTATTTCAATTCTAACATCACATTTGGTAGAAAAAAGGTCATCAAATCAAGAAATCGCCCTTATTTCAGCAAACGCGATGATTTGATATTGTAGTCCGTCTTCCTGGCCAAAATGTTGCCAATTATTTAAAAATTTGTTGAGATTCATTCATCTCAATAAAAACACTATGAACCATGTTTAGTGTACTTGTTAATTGATTACCAAATAATTTACTTTTTATTGTTTTGTCCGTGAGGTGGTATAATAAAGTATGAAGTAGTGCATAAGAGCGACGGTAAAAAAAAGTTTTACAGCCGATGGTCTCGCCGAATTATCTCGCGAATCGTTGTTTCCTAATTCCTACCCACAAAAATGTTCAAATAATGTTCATGTAAACGACATTACGCCACCACACAACCGTAATTTGATTCTCACATTTTCAGAATGACCATGGTAATTCGTCAAAGCAAATATTGAAAATTATTTGATCAAAGCGAAATCGCAATATATACCATGGACCTTTCCCCAACCTTTGACCCCAAAAAAATTCTTCCTATACTTTACTATTGCAAAATTTTCGGGCCTTATTGGACACGTAGACGACATAACAATCGTTTCAATAATATGTTGGTCTTGTTGTTGTTGTTCTTTGACACTTTTAGGACATCTAGTGGAAAATCTAAAAAACCGCTTTTCTCTTTCATTACTGGACCGATTGCTTCGAAATTTTTACTGGTTAAAGATGAAATTTTTCTCCAGAAGGCTATTACTTTTATTTATTTTAAATATTTCTGTTAGCTCTGTGAGATTTGTTTTTGTTTGCTATGACGTCACCGAACGTTCTGCGGACGCATAGCCGACACTCCTCTTCTTTTTGATCACGGGCCATCGAACGTCGATGGTTCGTAACGAAGTCCTTACGGTACTTTGCTACGATTTTTTCCCATTGAGGTGTATACACCTCAATGTTTTTTCCTTTTTCCTTACGCTGATCGACGGTACGGTAAATTCCATATATAAATTCCATATATTTGGGCGTAGCTCTCTTGTTGGACACGTAGTGGACATAACGATCGTTTCAATATTATGTTGTTGTTGTTGTTCTTTGACACGTTTTTAAAAAGTCGCTTTTCTCTTCGAATACTGGACCAATTGCTTTGAAATTTTCAGTGGTTAAAGATAAAAAATTTCTCCAGAAAGCTATTACTTTTTTTTTCGCTATGACGTCATCAAAATTATGTGACTCTACGTGTCCATATATTTGAGCATAGCTCTCTTGTTTTGAGAGTAGTTTCGTGAGTTGGCGCCTGTAATATGGGGTATGTGTTTCAAACCATCATTATGATTCATCGCATACAACAATCTGTTTTTTAAAAGTACTGGTAAAAAATTTTAGACCAGACTATCACAGCTATTTGTACACTAATTTTTTATAACTGCAATTAAATTAAAACTCCTAAGTAGACAGAGGGATCATTGAATTATCTGATTTATATTTAAATTTCCGAAACACAATTGAAAACTAACGAACAGAGTTCAAAAACGCGAAAACGAGGTAATGTTTACGACCGCGCCTGAAAATTTGTCTGTCTAAGCGGATGCGGAAAGGGAGCATTGTTACGTCACTTTTTGCATATTGACGTTTTGCCAATGTCACGAGGTAAACAAAGAGGTTGATGCTCGGGGAAAGGTCCATTGACTTAGTACTTTTTACCGACTCCAAACTTGGGGGATATTTTGACTTCGAAAATTCTGGTTTTCGTTGTTTAAAATCTGTCAATTAAAAATATTAGTAGCTATATATATAATCGTTTCGAATGTGCAATTTGTTTTTTGAACACCCTTGCCAGAATCCAGAGGTTCTCGATCTGAAATTGTAGTACTGTAGTTTTATTTTTTATTATTCTACTTTAATAATATTTATTACAAGATGTTTCGAACCTTTGCTTTGAACAAGACCTCAGACAAGTACAAATCACAATTGCAGAACATAATAAAAATCGTGCCTATAAAATCTGATATATAAAGACCCTATTTCTTTTGGAAAAATTGAAATTTTCTTGATTATAAATTGTTCCCGAAGTACTGCATATGAATTAGTGTGGAATTGTGGACAGTTTTGAAAAATTGCAAATAAACGGACTGTGGCCTCGTATTTTTAACGGATTCTTGGGGATACGTCTATTGACTTTATGATCCGAATGGCTTCTATGGTTTTGCGGATAATTGAATATTACATTTAGAAAGTATAGTTGCTTCTGCATAGAGTCAACATCGCAGTTAAGGGTACGTTTTTTTAAAATTCAGGCCTATTCCGCACATTTACCTCGCCCCCTCCAGTCACAGAATTACAATATTTTTACTCTTTCATGCATGCGATGGCAGAGTCGATATAATCTTGTTTCAATATATACAGAAAGGGTACCGTGTTGCTTTTTACCCCAAATATAAATATCTTTTACCAAATAAATTAGGCTGAAACTTTTTTATGTGTGTACATGCCGACTTTGGCTTTTTTTAAACCTAAGAATCTGATCATATACCGTGTTTCCCCGAAAATGGGATCTAGACTGAATTTTAAAAAATATTTTAATATAAGCCCTCCCCTTAAAATAAGACCTAGTCAATAACGAAACTTTTTTTTATACCTAGTCGATAGCAAGAAACCTCTTCTGCACGTTTTAAATGATTGATAGCTTATGTTTTGAGTTATTTTGCATTGGACGTACTGGCAACAAAGTTTGAAGGAAATGCAAATATTAGCATGTAGAAATCTACATGTTATCAGTGGTCTTTGAATTTTTCAACAAGGCACATCTCACCTAATTTAGAGAAAGATACGCCACAACAACTTTCTTCCTGTATTCAGAATTTGTAAATGCATGTCCACAAAGAAATTTACTAAAACTGATTAACAGATCTGATATGTCAATGATAATTCAATACACAGTCAAACAATCTATTTTAAACGAACACTTCCAACACAAAAGAAGAAAACACTTTCAAAGAAGAGAATACAAACCCGCGAAGTAGAGAATAATGTCAAAATTCTAGAATTCATTTTTCAAAAACTTTCAAACCATTATCATTTTTTGCTTGTGAAGAGGATTTAGGTTTGTATGGATAGGGTTTGCGATCAAGAATGGGTAAAGTATTCAATAAGTTCCTCTGTATATTCAAACTGTCCTGATTTATGGGGTTTGGATATTTCCTAAGTGCTTTGTTGATAACTGACGTATTAACTTTCCCATCAACTTCTTCTCCCTTTTTTAATTGTTCCAAACGATCTCTTTTCATGTCCTTAAAAATTGAAATAGAAAATTAAAATCTAAAATGTGAATACACATAAAATCACATTGTTCATGAATCAGCTAGCTATCAGTATACAAAGCCATAGCTATAAAAAGTCTAATTTTTAATAAATGAAACTTTAACTTTATCAACTTTCTAAGAGCCAGACATCAGTACAAGTAGGGTGTAGGCTTAATTTTTATTTTTTCTCTCAAGTAGCCTCCTGTTTAACTCAAACAGAATTTGGTCCTTAACATTTAAAAGAAAAATTTGATAAGATTTATAGTGTTTTTTTTCAATACAAAAAGTTGTTACACTTTGTAAATTAAACAACACCGATTATTGTTGTAAACTGCTTGTCTGAGGAAGTCTGATTTTGGTCAGGTGAAACGTTACAGAAATACATTTGTGTTAGTGCGCAGCAGGACTCTTGAATTGCATAGTATAGTCATGTTTATTCCAGCTACAGAATCGTTGCATTACATAGCACAAAGTGCTTGAGGAAGGATTGGGAATTAGTCTCGCGAAACCTCTACTGACACAGATAAACTGTTTTCAATATTGCCAAATTATGTGCCTCCTAACATTTTATGACAACAAACCTGTAATTGTTTATCACATGCCATCAGTGCAGTTAGCTCAGCTGTACAATTTGCATCTAAAAAGTTATTTTCTTCAAGACACACCAAAAACGAATCCATTTCTTTACTGCAACCTTCAGCTGAATAAAAAAAAATTATTAGCTTAAGCATAAAAAAGGAGTAAACACAGCAATGCAACTCGCTTTTTACCTGAGAATTATCATCAACCTTCAATCAACATTAGTACAAGAAGTCACTTATGAGCAAGGATAGAAATTTGTATATAAACAACCTAACCACATCCTGAATCAGAGCCTCTTATCCATTACAAGCCAATGACAGGTATCTGGGTATAGTAAACTGTAACGGACCAGCGGTACTTGAACCACCTAACACTGCGAGAGCTCCAGACCAGCAATCATCTCGCATATTATCAACCCACATGAAATTCGAACTTGTGGAAGGTAATCAGAAGTGCAATGGCAAGTGTATTCCTAATGCTTAGCGCAATGCCCCAACTCAGCAATTGCATAGTTTTACCTCTTGGTGCCATACCTACTTCCTAATTCTGATGATCGTTTCATGCCTGATTTTATGGAGTCTTTCAAATACATTGGTCTCTTCATCTCTAATTTAGGACGTTTTCCAGGTACCTTCCTGGTGAGATAAGCAATCTTTGCATTGATATCAGGTAATTTTGACATCTTGTTATTTTATTCCAGAGCATGAAAGCCCCACACTCATGCAAAGACAGAAAGAGATACCTGGTACCGGCACCGGTACTTAAAAGACTTGGAAAGCAATCAGCCTGGCAAATTCATAACAGTCCACTCTTCCAAATATAGATTTATGTACTAATAACGTAGATCTGTATTAAAAAAATAAACAATATACAGATACCGGTATACGCAGAAACAAGAAAGCTATACTCAAATATATCGCAGTACCGTAATCAGTAATTTATTTTTTCACCATGCTGAAAAATATGAATTCTTCGGGAATCACTGGGTTAGACAACTGGCGGTGTTGGGAGTGCTTCCGAGCGTACAAGACAGTAAAACCGGCTATACCGGCATAAGCCCGCGCATTGTAGTCGATTAGCTACTATTTCTGCTGAAGTATGTTCGACAGAATTGTTAAAAGACTTTATAAAAACAGTTCTTGTCTTGCTCTCGACATCGAAGGACCTCTTCTGCGATACCACGTCTGACAACATGTTGCGATTCAACGCTATACTTTTGAAAATTTTCGACGACAACTCATCGTAAGCCGGAATGAATTCAATTTATACATCTGAATCAGTGTTTGTTTCCCAAACTTCTTCAACCACGGAACACATCGTGACGAGTTGCCAAATGCGCCACAATAACTGTATTGTAGTAGTATATATTTACGGGTAAACATATCTAAAATGAGGTAGTGACCCCGAGAAATCCCGATTCCGAAGTTTGGACTGTTTTTTTTCAATCCCGATTCCACAATTATTTCCTAAAAATCCCGAGATTTGATGGCTTTGATATTCACATATAGATATTACCACGAATAGGGTATGATTATACCATTTTATTTAATATTAATTTTGAAAAAAAAAAAACATTTACGATCACAGTTTGAGTCAGTCAGACTAAGTGGAATTATTATTTGACTATTTGAATTGCTATTATTGCCGACTTATTTAATCATAATTTGAATTCATAGTAGCATTCGGGATTCGCGCAATGACTTTGCAGGGTTTTTATCACTTTAATACGAAAATAAAACAGCCACAACGGGAAATAAAATCAAGATCGTCTATGTCAACTATCGTCTTCATAAATACCCGCGGCCAATGTTGCCGGAATAGCATGGAGTAAAGGACAGATGGTAGCACATATTTCTTGTATTAAAAGCGTCTTTTTCGTAAAACGTGCGAGTTTTGGAAATGAAAACAAGGTATTATTTGTTTCTAAATTTCTAAGGAACATATTGAAATTATTCCAAGTAGTTCCCTTAAGTGCACTACGAAACTGAAAGATGAACGGCCTCTTCTCGCGGCCTACAGCACTACTGGCGACTTGAATGCAAACAAATACGGTACTACGGGGTTTTCTGATTTTTCGCTCCTTCTGCACAGGTTGCAGCTGGCATATGACGATAATATAAAATATAATTTTCAATCGCCCTGGATGTCGTTTCAAAATAATAATACATAAATAAACAAATATTTATGTATTATGCAAAAAAAAATAAAATAAAAAATAAACAAATATTTATTTAGGGATATTCATTATCCACAGTTCAGACATATACCGACAGCCCGGGGCTCCGGTACAAGCCTAATCCTTTAACCCCCTAACCATGTCCAAATGTCCTATAAATCCACATAAATGTATATATTATTTTTTAACAACTCTCAAGTCGAATGTAAAACAAAATCATACCGTAACTCAAACCGTCTTGTGATAAGAAAAGTCCGCGGGGTGAGAATATTTTTAAACAACTCTCGAAGGGCCAAGACGAATGTAAATCAAAATCACACGAGAGCAATGCCCAATATATGGACACGTTAATCAGGGAGAAGCAGGAATTTCGTTACACACCACCGGCGTTCGATGAGCACGTGATCAGCACGAGAACAAGAAGAAGAGTGCCAGCATGAAAGTGACTTTTTAGGTTTTCCACTAGACATCCAAAAAAAAGTAAAACAATCCATAGGTCCACTCCGTGCTCAATAATAAAAAATACAAGTGATAGCCTTCTGGGACAAAAATCTTTAGCTACTGTAAATTTGGTCCAGTAATCAAAAGGCATGATTACATGTCCATCAAAATCAGTCCAGCGAACCGGTTCGATCAAAGTGGTCTCGGAGACTACTTAGTGCCCTCGATTACATGTCCAAACCAACAATCTGAGAACAGTTTTGGATTTGCCGGATTAAATCAAATAAGTCATGATTTGCAAACACTGCATATATTTTATTTCCAATAAATTTATAAATTTAATACAAATGTTAATTAAGGTATCAAAATTGAATGCACGTTCTTGATTTAAATTCTTTGAAGTTATTTGCAGAATATGATGAGGGGTTGCTTTCCCGTTGAAATTTGCCCACAATCTAGGAAACAAAACGACAAATTTATTGGGGGCATAAAAGATAGACGATTTAGAATCTAGAAATTTTAGATCATTTTGGCTGACCATCCAGCGTTCAACGCTGTAGACTACTGGCACCTTACGCCACACGATCCATTCAAAAATCACAGTAGGCCTACAGTTACCAGTAGTCTACTGGCAGACTGGCAACTAAATTAAAACAATTACATTTTATCAACCAAACACTCGTGTGAAGTGGGCTCATCATATGTAAAGAGAAGCACTTTCATTATTTAATATCGCCCTACTACTGCGACGTTACCGACACTGAAGCTTTGTATTTATGCTGGTACCGGTATGTACAGTAAGGGTACCGGTACCGGTACCAGCTAGGATGCGGTATGGCTGTATGGTGCAATTCCAAAAGAATTCTCAATGCAAACTGAAGTCGTACTGCGCTCAGTTTATACCAATAAATCTTTAGACATCAAGATTTAATTCTCTGTTTTAAAACAACAACTTATCATGCCAATATGCCGAACCGGGATCCCACCAGTACCGGTATTTTAAATTTGTGTTCAGCAGCGACACAATAGATGCGGAAGATGTTTAAATTAAACTTGCCCTATCTAGCTGAATTTTTATTAGTTTAAAAAAGCAACTCACTTACCAGAGATGAAAAAGAAAACAACTTCCGTACCTCCTTCGATCACGGTGATTCACGATTGCTCGAGTAGCACGGCGAAGCAACTGAGCAAGACCAGTTAGCTCACTTCCAGACCTCCTAAATAGGAGGTCTGATGTTCTGGACCGATAGCACGGATTTGAATCGCAGGCGAACCACTGAAGCGTGAATATGTGGTCTGCTAGACCGGTTCCAGCGGACATGTAATCAGGCCTAAAGAGAAACGCGACTTTTTCATAACGTGTCAAAGAACAAGAACAACAACAACATAATATTGAAACGATCCATAGGTCCACTAATGTGTTCAATAACCCAAACCTTCTTATGATCGTAAAAGTCCGCGAGACGAAAAGTCGGTATACCATACTACAGTATCGTGTTACTGATAGGGGAGGTCGGACTACTGATGCAACTCCTGACACTAGCTTCTGAGCTTCAAAACGGTATCGGTGAGCTGATATATACCTAAACAAGCTACAGAACTCTGCAAATACCAACGTAACAACTGCATCATCTTTTTGGCGACGTAGGAAGGCGCAGATATAACTTACCATAATTCGTCTTTATTGAATGCGATGGTATTTTGGAGACTTCAGCAATTTGAAATGTATGAATGTATGAGGTTTTACAAGTAACGATAATCAAGTCATATATGCGTGGTATGTTTGTTTCCTAACCATATATTTTGAATTAGTTAAAAGCACCTACTTAAGTTCGAATTTTTGCCCTCCTGAACCTGTCAGGCTAATTAACTAATGCCTTTGAGATTGGTTGATCTATATTCCCCAGCATTTTCTTAATTACTTTAAATTTCTGCATAATTAATTTTTTGATGATTGCTTTTTCATATATATCGTTTACTTTACTTTCGTTAGCTTGACTTTTTATATGATATAACTTGTAGAGTACTGCGAGATGATATATACAACATCAAAAGACCAAAAGTTTCATAAATTGTCATTTTAAAGAGCAAAACAATATTCCGTATAATTAATTTTTCCCTCTCCGCTTGTATCTCCATCTTTGATAAATTCATCGATTTCTTCATGAGATAATGTATCACCGAGTGTTGTGAGATATTCACGTATTTCCGATGCACTGATTACTCCGTCTAAATCTTTATCCAGAACCCTGTGTTGGTGACGGAGAAGGGGAACAATTGTTGTTGTTTTTTCATAGGTATAGGTATACGCTAAAAAATTGTTGTTATATTCAAGTGTTTAACTCTATTTACCTGAACGCGGCGTTCAACTCATCATCCATATCAAGACTCGATTTTATTATTTTAGCAAATAGGTCCGCAAGGGCTTGAAACTCAACTTCTCCGCTGTCCTTTGAGTCCAACTCCTGAAATATTAACAGTTAACAATTTGCAGTATTGATTAAATGTTTGACCTGAAACCGCAAGCTCATTATTTTATCCAGAGTGTAATAAAATATGGGTAGACAATGGCGATACCAAGAGGATTCCGTATATTTTTAAAATAGAAGCCCTTTCCTCTCAGTGGCTGTTATTCCAGCAAGAGATGAAATCAGAGATAATTTCAATCTGTTTTTAATGTGAAACAATGAAACATATCTACAAAAGTATGTTTAACTTCATCTCAATCGCCGTTTTGACAAGAAAATTCCAAGGTAGCACCAGCTCCCGATTCCATTCAAAATTAAGTTTGACTCTGACCCGTCTTTAGTATAGAAATATACCGACAATATAATTTTGGTACTGCTGTTGAAATATTCGACACCTGCTGATAACTTTAGTCAGTATGGCCCAACTCAAAATTTTGATTTAGATCCTGATCTAAATCTAGCACGTATAGTCAAATTTGGAATATGAATCCATATTTTTATGAGTATAATAATCTGGTTGAATTCCATTTGAAAAGATGCAAGACCAATTGCATTAATTTATCATCAAAGTAAAATTGCTATTTGAAAGTAAATCCAGCAACTGTACCACTTTATTGCAGAACTATTAAATATGCTACGAGAAAAGAAAAGCTTTTTTATGGCTTCTCCCAAGGTATATGATATTAAAAAAATGTTGACACAACCGCTTTGTGTCTATTTTGCTTTTTATCGCAGCTCAAATTAATTAGGGATGATTTCAACGATACAACGATCAATATATATATGGCATGTACCTTTTTATATTCCTCTAATTGGGCTTCGGTCGGAGCTTGCCCTGCTGCCCTTAAAACGTTTCCTATATTTTCAGTGGCTACATGATTACTTTCCTCAGGATCAAACTTTCCAAACGCTTCTCGAAAAACAACCAATTCGTCGTCTTTCAATTTTTCAGCTGCCATTACGCACGGACACAAAATACCAGTCCGTGGGTACTGAATGTTTTGATGAATACGCTTCGAATAGCCCGTTGACAACAATGAACAGATCCAATATAACACATCCTTTGTTTTTAGGATATCATGTGGCACGATGGAAACAAAGTAATTGCTGTTAAAGACTTATTCCTACGGAATAAAAAATCAATTCGGTGTCGTAAAATAAATCTGTGTAAAGCAGGGGTGGGCAAATTATGGCCCGCGGGCTTGATCCGGTCCACTTTTGCTTGCTGAAATTACGACTAATTTTTATGAATACAAATTTACGTTGAAAATATCGATAAAAATAACGAATCGTGGCGTCGGCTAATATAAAAAAACCTAATTCGCCACATATTATCTTCACGTTAATATAACGTGCAAAACGAGCTACATACACCTCAAGCTCACCCATCTAAATTATTTATGTCATTTAAAACTATGGCGTCTCTACCAAGAAGCGGCTGATATGTCAGCGCATTTTTAGAGAGCTACCTTCAAGGACTTTTTACTTTTTTCGTGCGGCCGTGGAAGCTGCTACACATGTTCTTTCCGGTACATCAATTTCAGTACTCAAATCCAATCATTCTGTCTGTACTCACTCACTTGCCAATATTCTAGTGTTACTTTATGCATTTCCTGCATTGCTTTGCATCAGTGAAACGTGTAGTCGGGCGATTGTTATCGACGCTAGTTATTTGTGATTAAACTTTTTTTTTTATATATATATTTAGTTTCATATTGAGTTTTGAGACTTCAGCCCAATAACCAAGTCTATTATCCATAACTGGCCCACTAAGAAAAGTAATTTCCTACCTCTGGTGTAGAGAGATTAAAAATGCGAGTTAAAAAGTATGCCCACCATGATTATAATTTACAATTCTAAGCAAACGGCTGGGTAATAATCTTCCATTTGTGGATAAGAACTTGAAAGTGATTATATATGTTCATATTATTGCTAAGACATTAATCATAATTGTACTCAAACCATCAGTGACAGGAGTACCTTGATACATTTTAAAACTTGATTCTATGCCTGAATACTCGATCAACAGCGTTGACATAAATCCGCCGTGATATCCCCGAGTTCGCCTGCTAAGAGCTAGAGTGATCATTGACATTTGCAGTAGCATTAGATCAGTGATTTTTGGCAAAAATTGGGAGTTTTTTCGTGAGATCATTTCTTATTCTTTCTCTCAATTTTGCTTTGAATCATTGAACATGAGTTTACTTTAGTCAATTGTCAATACTTTTTTCTTCATTTGCACTATTCCAACTCAATATAATATTGTATTGCTTGTTCACGAAAGTGTGTAATATGATAAAATATAGTAGGCTTACTTGACCTGAATCGCCAATCACGAGCGACAATCTAGTGGAGGTGTAGACTGACAATTGGATTCACAAAAGTTCGAACCCACGGAACGCTAATATTGCTGCAAAATAGCAAGCAAGATTTTTATATTAATCTGAACTTTAACACAAGCCAACTGGCATCTACTTGCTGACCGGATCTTTTTAGTCATTGATTAGAGCTAAATCCTATATCAATATTTGCAAGATATTCATTATAGAATATTTTCAATAGTATTTGATTAATTATAATTTATTGTATATATATATATATATATATAATTTGATAACAATCATCGTTACAGTCGATACCATTTGTTATCAGTGGAATAAGTTTTTTCCGACGCTTTGAATGGCCTTTTTCGCTCCTTTTATGCTTCCTTGAACTGTTTCTTTCACATCTGTTATAAAGCACACATTGCATAAATCGTAAATGATTGATACAAAAATATATATGGTAGAAAATAGTTAGAATTGTCACTAATGAGATATTAATATATATGAAACGTTGACTCGATGATTTGAGCATATTACAAATTTATTAGAATATATATTTCGTCACTTTCTAGTCAAGTCTTGCATTTTACGTAGACAAATTGTCGATTTGCATGCCCTAGCTTTATGAAATCTGATGTCCCACTAGATCCAAATGTCATCAACTATACAATTTTCGTCGTAAAAGGAATATAAATCTCTGAAGGTAAGGCAACCCTAATTGTTGTCACCTGCGTAGATTAGTAAAAAATAATTTTCTCATTATTCATATATATATATGTATTTTCGCAAAATAGGGAATCGAACAAAGATTTTGTAAATCGTTGGTTGATACGTTCGGTCACATTCATGACGGTATAAACTAAAACATAATAAATATATTGTTATTGAACATTTTACCTTGAGCTAATGTATCCAACAGAGGGTCGGCAACAGCTTCCACCAAGCCTCCCGATTTGCTTGACTTGGGTCTGGCGTTAGTTATTACCATACACATTGTTAATAGAAAAGCCAACAAGACAAATTTTGATTTATTAGTCATGGTTGGTGCAGTCTGTTTCACCAAATCAAAATGTAAATCGAAATTGCATGTTTCCCATTTATATTTACAAGATGAGTTCATCACCCTTTCCACTTCTTGTTATCGGAAAATGTTGCGCGTTACCTATACGTTATTAAAAATGTATTTTTTTTCCGGGAAAGTCTAATAGTTTTGATCATGTACAGTGTACACGATTGAAAATCGCAAACAATTTACCATTGCTAACCAAGTTGATTTCCAGTCAAGCAAGTACTCGATAAGGCCTGTATTTCAAAATCTTAGAATCAGGTAACCATAATAAAGTTATTCGAGATCATGTATCTCAAAGCTCGTCAAATCTGAATTATACCTAACGCAAGAGTTGAGGTTGCGTGCCACTGGGATAATTGAATAAAAAAAGGCGATGGTGGTAAATATAATAAACTTTCTTTCTTTTGAAATTAGAATCGTTATTTCAGATTTAACATGTTTTTCGATAACGTGGCCCGAGTCCAGAGTAAGGAAATTATAGAAAGTTAATGCTGTTTAACTATAGGATTAAATGATGTTCACAAGCTTATAGCTGTGACGCAGGTCTCTGTTGTCAGTGGCTTCTCCTAATCATGTATGATATATATTACCGATTCGTCCACCGGGTGTCTCTCGCTAGACATCACGTAGACGCAATGGGACACAGTGGCCGCACCGTGTCAACTTTTTCTTTGCTATTCCTTCATCTGCCAGTATGACATCTATCCCATCACACTACTAACCCCCACAAGTCCACAAGACAATAACGTATCCGATGTTGTTGGAATATAACGTTTAATCCTTGAAATCCTTTATATCAAATTCTCGAAACTTTTCAACTGAACTGTAATCTATGCCTATGCAATTTTATCTGAGCAACAACCAAACAAAGAATTAATATATATATTTTTTGCTATTTTCAGATCTTTTTTTCATCGAAGAAGTTTTTCGTCATGCCGGTCCATGGGAAACTTAATTCTCATGGGATGGGACAAGCATGAATTTCCATGGGATGAAACAGAAAAATATATCCCACGGACAAAACCTGGTTGTGGTATGGGATATTAGGACGTCGGGTTTCCTGGTGCCTTGAGTTTCTTACAAGTGTTATTTTATTAAATTCAACTTACTATCCAATCTATGCGTGTGATTATATCATACGTATCTGGCCTGTAACTAAAATATCCTGATTCACGCAACTTGAAAGGTTATTAATACGCCAGATACATTTGTCATAACCGCAAAAGCTTAATATGAGGTTATATGAGATTCGCCCATTCTTTTGACGTCATTGATAAGGAGGATCCTCACAAATGACCTAGCCTAGGGCAGTCGCGGATAACCCCTGGCACGTTTCAAATCCCGGTATTGACGGATGAAACTCGGCGTTCGTTTCTTCATTTTCGTTTTTGACAATACGTTAATTAATTAAACTATTTTTGTCCTTTTATGACACAAAGCTACAAAAAAATATGTCATGACGTAACAATTATATGTGAGTTTTCGACCTTCATCGATTTTTCTTCAGACCAACGTCATATTTATTTGGCTAAATTCTTACGTAATATAGTTCGTCTGTGGTACCCTTTTTCTTCATTTCTGCCTGATTTACAAAATTTGAGAGCGCATATAATTAGGGTTGCTTGCTAACTTATTGGCATATATATATATAAATTGATAATGTATTAAATTTTAATTACTTCTGCGTTATTGGCCTACCTCATGTTTCTTTCTCCTCATGTACGTTTCTTTTTTACCCTTACAAATTCTACAACGTCAGGACCATCAGATAAAAACGTCGTTTAATTGGCGATGTCAGAATATTCAAAAAATACTGGACCTAAAGATTTGGTGTGAATGAGAAAGACTTTTTTTTAATCTTTATGCATTATCTGTTTCAATAACATAAACAATAAAACCGTTAAGAAAAAAAGAATAGATCAGTTGTAAAATGAGCAAAACCAAAGTATAATAATTTTATGAACTTGCTCGTGTTCTCTGTTATTAACTTCATTAGATCTCGTAATAGGAGTAGCCTGACTGAAAACTAGTAGTAGGTATATATTTAGAAGATTATAAAATATACACAATTATAAAAGCCCTCTTAACAGCAATGCAGCAGCAGGAGTAGTCGATAGAGCAAACAAATAGTAATCAAATCTTGTCTGACTTATGTTTTCACTGTTCGGAAGAATTTTCATCATTTCTTCAAGGCTCTTCCCATATATATACTTCTAAAATGTCGGTACAGTAGTATGTTTTCACAAATTTCGCTTTGCACACGGGAGAATTTTGTTAATGAATTTAACGGATTTTGACACGCAAACCGAAAAATGTTTCTCACCCCTGGCCTAGCGTCTCTTCCTTATCATCTAATTTGGCGCTAGTATACTTCTTAGAATAGGTGAATGGATTTCTAACTAGAATCTACCAGTGACTTGTTCGCAGAATATTGTGAAACAACTTATCAGCAATTTTTGCAGCAAATTCAGGTTGATTAAAGCAATTCGCACACACATGTAATCAGTAATACAAATTTATTGATGAATTGAATTAATAATGACATTGAACATCATCGTAATAGGAGATGATTTGCAAGAGAAAATAAGGGCTCGTTGTTGCCTTCATACTGTGCAATTAGTACTTCCGTCCTGGAAGTTCTATGTCATTCTCGGTGGCAGCATCAACTGTGAAGAAAATATTTATTGGCAAAAATTCCAACAGTGCTATAAAAACATTTACAA